GTCACACAGGAATGGGGGGGGTCACATCCCAGCACCCACCAACTCCAGGAGAGGGGGTGAACCCCTTAGTCCTGTTTTTTTTTTGGGGGGGGTGTATCACATCCTGGCACCCCCCCACCTCCAACGTGGTGGGGAGCAAGGAGAACCCCTCAATGCTATTTTTGGGGGGGGAGAGGACACATCCCAGCCCCCCCCACCCCCTGCCTTGCTGGAGTGGGGGGGGGCGCACCCTTCAGCCCTATATTTTTTTGGGGGTGCCCCCCCCAATCCCACAGGTATGTGTACTCCTGGCACTGCTCCGATGGCCCTGGTTTCTCCTGTCCTCTCCTGGTGGACACCACCGGTGCTTATTTTCGCCGCGACGGCATCGCCGGCAACTACCTGGGTGGCATGAGCCCCCCCGAGGTGAGCCCAAAGGTCCCCCCACGGCTGGGGTGAAGAAGGAGGTTCTGGAGAACCTCGGGGTTCCACAAGGGAGGGAGGCAGAGACATCGTCCCAGCAGCCAGGGAGAAGGTTAGGGAAGCCAAGGACCTGCTGGAATGAAATCTGGCCACGAGAAAAGTTCCTGGGGGTGATTGGAGACAAAGGAAGATGTAGCTCTTCTCCAGAAGGAGACAGGAGACCTGATCACCCATGGTATGGACAAGGCTGAGGGCCTCGATGACCTTTTTGCCTCGGTCTTCACCGACAAGAGGTCTAACCACATGCCCAAGTCACAGAGGGCAAAGGCAAGGACCAGGAGAAGATCAGGTTGGAGGCCATTGGAGGAACCTGTAGGTGCATGACCTGGTAAGATCCCCATGTCCTGAGGGAATCGGAGGGTGACGTTGCCACTATCCAGCGTACCCATCCCTGGAGGGGTTCAAGGCCAGGTTGGATGAGGCTTGGAGCAACCTGGTCTGGTGGGATGTGTCCCTGCCCACGGCAAGGGAGTAGAACAGGGTGGCCTTCAAGGTCCCTTGCAACCCAAACCTTTCCATGATTCTATGATATTTAAAAGAAAAAAACCAAACGTATTTAAACCACATCTAGATGTGGTGCTGAGGGACATGGTTTGATAACTTGGCAGCGTTGGGTTAATGATTGATCTTGATGATCTTAAAGGTCGTTTCCAACCGAGACGATACTATGATTCCATACTTGAGAAGCCGTGGTAGCCTGGGGAGTTCAAGGGGAGAAAGGAAGACCCAGGGAACGACAGGCTGGTCAGTGTCACCTCTGTGCCCGGCAAGATCATGGAGCAGATCCTCCTGGAAACTCTTGCTAAGGCACATGGAAACCAAGGAGGTGATCGGTGATAGCCGACATGGCTTCACCAAGGGCAGGTCATGCCTGACAAATTTGGTGGCATTCTATGATGGGAGATCAGGGAGAGCAACAGACGTCACCTGCCTGGCCTTGTGCAAAGTGTTTGACACTGTCCCACATGACATCCTGGTCTCTAAATTGGATACTTGGATTTGAGGGATGGACCTCTTGGTGGATCAGGAACTGGCTGGCTGGCTGCACTCAAAGGGTTGGGGTCAACGGCTGGATGTCCAAGTGGAAGCCAGTGACCACTGCCGTTCCTCAGGGATCAGTACTGGGACCAGTGCTGTTCCACATCTTTGTTGGAGACATGGACGGTGGGATTGAGGGCACCCTCAGCAAGGGTTTTGACATTTATTTGACGACGACACCAAGCTGTGTGGCACGGTGACACACTGGAGGGAAGGGATGCCATCCAGAGGGACCTGGCCAGGCTGGAGATCTGGGCCTGTGCCAACCTCATGAAGTTCAACCAGGTCAAGTGCGAGGTCCTGCACCTTGGATGGGGCAATCCCAGGCACAAAGCCAGGTTGGGCGGAGAATAGCTGGAGAGGAGCCCTGAGGAGAAGGACTTGGGGGTGTTGGTGGATGAGAAGCTCCAACATGAGCTTGCAACCACCCACACCCTGGGCTGCATCCCCAGCAGCGTGGCCAGCAGGGCGAGGGGGGGGATTCTGCCCCTCTGCTCTGCTCTGGGGAGCCCCCCCCCCGAGTGCTGCCTCCAGCTCTGGGGCCACCAACAGCAGAAGGACATGGAGCTGTTGGAGCGGGGCCAGAGTAGGCCCCGGAGATGCTGGGAGGGCTGGAGCCCCTCTGCTGGGAGGACAGGCTGAGAGAGTTGGGGGGTTCAGCCTGGAGAAGAGAAAGCTCCGGGGAGACCTTCGAGCCCCTTCCAGTCCCTCAAGGGGCTCCAGGAGAGATGGGGAGGGACTCTGGATCAGGGAGGGGAGCCCTAGGAGGAGGGGGAAGGGTATGACACTGAAAGAGGGGAGATGGAGATGAGATGTGGGGAAGAACTTTGCTGTGAGGGTGTTGAGAGCCTGGCCCAGGTTGCCCAGAGAAGCTGTGGCTGCCCCATCCCTGGAGGGGTTCAAGGCCAAGTTGGATGAGGCTTGGAGCAACCTGGTCTGGTGGGAGGTGTTTCCCGTCCCTGAAGGTGGGTTCAAGGCCAAGTTGGATGGGGCTTGGAGCAACCTGGTGTGGTGGGAGGTGTTTCCCATCCCTGGAGGTGGGTTCAAGGCCAAGTTGGACGGAGCTTGGAGAAACCTGGGGCTGGTGGGAGGTGTCCCTGCCAATGGAACTAGGTCATTAGATTGTCTCTTCCACCCCAAACCATCTTATGACTCTAAATCACATATTCAAGGAGAGGTTGGATGGGGCTTGGAGCAACCTGGACTGGTGGGAGGGGTTTCCATCCCTGGAGGGGTTCAAGGCCAAGTTGGAGGGAGCTTGGAGAACCCTGGGGCTGGTGGGAGGTGTCCCTGCTCAGGGCAGGGGGTTGGAACGAGATGATCTTCAAGGTCCCTTCCAACCCAACCCATTCTGTGATTATTTTCCAGGAGGAAGAGCCGGATCCAGGCGATCTCTCGGTGGATCACGATTACTTCCAGGAGCAGGTGTGGCCCAGGCTGGCCCATCGCGTCCCGGCTTTCGAATCCCTACGTCTCCGGAGCTCTTGGGCGGGCTACTACGACTACAACACCTTCGACCGTAACGGGGTGTTGGGACCTCACCCCAAATTGGAAAATCTCTTTTTGGCCGCCGGTTTCAGCGGCCACGGGCTCCAGCACGCGCCGGCTGCCGGCAGGGCCGTGGCCGAGCTGGTGGTGAAGGGCCAGTACGAGAGCTTGGACCTACGGAGATTGGGGTGGGGGAGGCTGGTGGAGGGGAAGAGGCTGGAGGAGGACGGGGTGGTGTGACCTGGGGGGGAAACTGAGGCACGGAATGGGGAAACTGAGGCGCAACACCGGGGAGGCCGGAGGTTGGCCTTGTGCCCTGCAGGAATAAAAGGACTGGATGATGAGTGTGCTGGGGGGCTAAGTGGCAGGGGGGAATCCCCGTACCCCCCCCAGTGTCCCCAATTACCCCCCGTGATCCCCCCATTACCCCTCAGGGTCCCAGTTGCCTGCCCAGTGTACCCCAGGCCTGCTGTCCCCAGTCCCAGTATTCCCCCCCGGTGTCCCCACTATCCCCCGTTCCCCCCATTATGTTCCAGTGCCCCTGGTCCCAATGTCCCCAGTGACCCCCCAGTCTCCTCCCAGTGCTCCCATTTTCCTTCCAGTTGCTCCCACTCCCAGTATCCCCAGTATCCTCCCAGTGCTCCCATTATCCCCCCACTGGTCCAGTGTCCCCATTATCCCCCAATTTTCCCCAGTATCCCCCCCAACACACACACTCTGCTCCCATTTTCCCTCCAGTTGCTCCCACTCCCAGTATCCCCAGTGTCCTCCCAATGCTCCTATTATCCTCCCACTGGTCCAGCATCCCCATTATCCCCCATTTTTCCCCAGTATCCCCCCCAACACACACACTCCACTCCCATTGTCCCCATTATACCCCAGGGTCCCCACTGCCCCCTCAGTGCCTCCCAGCCCTGCTGTCCCCATTCCCCTCATTATCCCTCCAGTGTCCGCACTCCCAGTATCCCCAGTGACCCCCCCCATTATCCTCCCAGTACTCCCATTATCCCTCCAGTGGTTCAGCATCCCCATTATCCCCCATTATTTCCAGTGCCTCCAATAGCCCCCCACCCCCAGTGTCCCCATTCTATCCCCATACCCCAGTCCCACTGTCCCCAGTTTCTCCCCAGGGTCCCTGCTACTCCCTGCTCCCCCAGCCCCACTCTCCCCAGTCCCAGTATCCCCCCAGTGTCCCCATTACCCTCCATTCCCTCTCTAGTACCCCCATTATATTCCAGTGCCCCCACTCGCAGTATCCCCAGTGACTCCCCAGTGTCCCCTTCCCAGTGCTCCCATTATCCCTCCAGTGCCCCTAGCCCCAGTATCCCCATTATCCCCACATTACCCCATGTTATCCCCCATTATCCCCATATTACCCCCCAGTATCCTCCCATTCCTCACTCTTACCACCCAGTATCCCCCATTACCCACCATTATCCTCCCAGTATCTCCCCATTACCTCCAGTATCCCCCCATATTATCCCCACATTACCCCATGTTATCCCCCATTATCCCCATATTACCCCCCAGTATCCTCCCATTCCTCACTCTTACCACCCAGTATCCCCCATTACCCACCATTATCCTCCCAGTATCTCCCCATTACCTCCAGTATCCCCCCATTAAGCCCAAATTATCCCCCATCACTGCCCCAGTATCCCCTCATTGACCCCCCATTACCCCCAGTAGCTCCATTAACCCCCATTACCCTTCATTACACCCCCAGTATCCACCCATTAACCTCCATCACCTCCTGTTATACCCCAAAATCCTTCATTACCCCCAGTATCCTCCCATTATCCCCCCATTACCCTCCAGTATCCCCATTACACCGCCATTATCCTCCCATTACCCCCCAGTATTCCCATTATCCTCCCATTACCCTCCAGTATCCCCAATACCCCACCATTATCCCCCCCATTACCCTCCGGTATCCTAATTATCCCCCCATTGTCTCACCATTATCCCCCCATTATCCCCCCAATACCCCACCATTATCCCCCCCATTACCCTCCGGTATCCTAATTATCCCCCCATTGTCTCACCATTATCCCCCCATTATCCCCCCAATACCCCACCATTATCCCCCCATTACCCTCAGTATCCCCATTATCTTCCCATTACCCCCCACTATCCCCATTATTCTTCCATTAACCTCCAGTATCCGCATTATCCCTCCATTACCCCACCATTATCCCCCCATTACTCCCA